CCCTACTGGTGAAATGGATGCCCCAGAACGACCTCTTGGGTCACCCGAAGATCAGAGCCTTTGTAGCCCATGGTGGCACCAACGGGATCTACGAGTCCATCTACCATGGCGTGCCGATCATAGGCATACCCCTTCTGTTTGACCAGTTTGAGAACATTTTGAGAGTGGAGGCGCGTGGAGCCGCTAAGGTGGTGGATGCGACCAAACTGACTCGTGAGAACTTTCTTGAAGCGATACAAGAAGTTCTTCACAATCCCTCGTACAGGAACAACATGAAGCGTCTCTCTGCTCTCCATCGGGATAAACCGATGCATCCTCTGGAAATGGCTCTTTACTGGGTTGAGTTTGTTATGAGGCACAAAGGAGCTTCACATTTACGCACTGAGTCTTATAAGATGCCCTGGTATACCTACCATTCTGTGGATGTTATTTGCTTTTTGACAGTGGTCTTGTTGATGCTGACAGCCATTGTAGTTGGATCAATACGATTCCTTTGCATTCGACTGTGCAGGAAAAGAAAAGCCAAGCAGGAGTAGTAACTGACTCCTCACATCAGATTAACACTCATTTAAATGAAGGAGAACTGGACTGGCGATGTTCTATATTCTTAGCCATACTAGTGCCGTTGCTCTAGGAAGGGCAGTGTTGGCCTGTCAGTCAGTTGGTCCACCACTTTGGTCCAGACTGAAATTACTCAACAACTATTGAATGTGTTGCCACAACATTTTGCTAAGACAATCATGTTTCCAATATTCTACACTTTTTGGTAATCCATTAACATTTTGATTTTGAGTGTCTCAACAACTATCTGATGAATCGTTATTAAAGTGGCCATATGCAAAATTCAGATCATTTGACTTGGCTGGACGCGGTTCTCAACATGGAGGTGGCTAAACAGCTAGCAGCTAACTCTGCTAACTCCATAAACAGCGCTAAACAACGGCAACAGTGCTGACAAAGCTAACGGTTATAACCAGTGGGAACCGGAGAGCGAGCACTACGCTTCAGTCCTCACATCACTTGCAGAGATCCAAGGGGAGAGGAGGTAGCAACACAACTCCACCTAATGGAGGCTGACGGAGCCCCAGATTCAAACGTCCAAAAACACATAATTGAAACCACAAATCCAAGTGTCCTGAAGCCCCGACATAAAAAGTTGTTTGGAAAAATGTCTACAGGCTACATTGAGGCTAAAAAGTTCAAATGAGGTTTTTCCAAACAACTTTTTATGTCGGGGCTTCAGGACACTTGGATCACTACGGACGAGCAGTATGGAGATATTTTGTGGTTTCAATGATGTGTTTTTGGACGTTTGAATCTGGGGCGCCGTCAGCCTCCATTAGGTGGAGTTGTGTTGCTACCTCCTCTCCCCTTGGATCTCTGCAAGTGATGTGAGGACTCTAAAACTTCACCTGAGCCTCCCTCGGCATATGGGTGAGTAGATAATGGCTGAATTTACATTTTTGGGTGAACTATCCCTTTAAATTGGTGCAGATATTCATGGTGTCCAGAGGATAAATGTTAACTTCTGCAGTGATATTTCTCAGATTTCCCCTGACAATGAATCTGCCTTTGGTGATCCACTAACTTTTCCCCATGTGTCACTGTGAGGTTCACATTTGTGGTTTCGAGTGCAGTGACTCGACAACTATTGGTTGGATTGCCGTAAATGCTGGATAGACATTCATGATCCCCTCAGGATGACTTTGATGATGTCTTAATGTTTTACTAGCCTAATTAGCCCTATACTTTGGGTTAAGATCAAATACCAGCAAAACAACATTCCCTTCATCCTCAGCCGTGCTTTGTGTGTACTCCAAATTAAAAAATGCTAACATGCTAACTGTCTAAACATTATGGTGAACATTATACCTGCTTAACGTTAGCGTGTTTGTGTTGTTATCATGTTGAAATTAACTCTTATGTTACAGATTTTCAATTAAAGAATTAACATGTAACTAAGCTCAAGACACTTTTTTGTTCATTATTATTATTATTATTATTATTTTTTTTTTTTTTAGGGCGCTGGTCCTCAGACTATGGTAAGTCTAGCACTGTTGGTAATCAAGCTTCCTCTAGTAGTGCACTGAAAAATATTAAATATTTACAAAAAATGTAATGAAATAATGTATGTAAATATATATATATAATGCTAACCAAATATTACATAATAAACAAATAAACAAATAAACATTCAAGCATCTTGAATGGAAATACTTCAGCTATGAGGTCCCCAAAATGTAATTTAAAGTCAGATTTGCCTTTCCTGTAATATTATTGTTTCAATATCAGCCTGATATGTAGACAGTTATATGAATGTAGCATGTGCATACATGCATTTAACAGGCTTAACTGTGCTGGCAGGATGGTTAGCAGAGGTTAAATTATTTTTTTAAAAACACTGCAAATGTGGCTCCAGTCGAAATCTTTCAGGGAGAGAAGCGCACATCAGGAGGAAAATATTTCCAGCAGCCTTGTTGAAACTGAAATGGAAGACGGTGAACTGAGTGCATGTGTTATTGGCTTTTTCATCAGCACCAGTGACGTCTCCACAGCACCTGAGATTTGAGATTTATTTGGTTTTTAAAAAATGCATGAATGGACATTTACATGTAAATGCATGAGATTATAGCCAGGTGGCTAATTTCCATCTCCAGTCCCATTGTAGGTTGGTGTCAAACACACAAAATCAACAATGCCAACAAAAGAAAATAAAATACACAGAGAAGAACAACATAAGGACAACATAAGTAAACCACAAAGCACACAACAGGCGAAGAGACAGGCGGGGAGACCTTAGAAATTTCAATCTGATTACAAAGTGCAGGTGTGCTAGTTAAAGCGGAGAGTGCCAAAGTGCTGAGTGTGTATTGCAGACACCCCGGTTTATTGCACATGCCCTAACGCAGTAAAGTGCATAGTACAGTTTGTGCTAATTTGCTAAGTGCCAATTCATATTGCACAATGTCACCTACAGCACTTGACACACTTGCACATACAAATATGGTACCCCAGCAAACCAGTTGCACAGATACACAGAACAATAATAAGAGAATGCATTAAAATAATAATAATAAATAAAATAAAATCCTCAAGATGCATGAGTGCAAATTTGATTCTCTAGTAGCTGTGTTTTGAAATGTCTAATGAATGAGGCAAGAGTTGGCGAATCCCGCATAGTATTTGGTATGGTGTTCCATGTCTGGGTCGCTCGATATGAAAACACCGTCTGTCCGAAAACACTTTTCCTGAGCGGGACTTGACAATCCCCTCTAGAGCCGGCTCTCATTGACCTCATAGGGTTCCTTTTAATAAATTCATCTAACGGAGGTGGCGCCAGACCGTGGAGAATTTTGTACACCAAGACACCATCTGCATGTTTTATTGTGTTTCCCCAACTCAGAAGACCATATTTTTTCAAAATGTTGCAATGGTGGTATGCTTTGGGTTTTTTGTCTAAAATTTTGATTGCCTGTTTATACACAACTTCAGCTGATTTAAGTGTGGTCTTGCATGCCAGTGCCCAGATTGTTATGCAATAAGTTAAATGTGGCTTTACCATAGCACTGAAATATAGTTTTGCTGATTCGGTAGTCAGGTTGTTTCTTATGTATCTGAAGTTAAACAGGTTGAATTTGGTTTGGTTCACAGCTCTCTTTACTTGTTGCTGAATTCACGTACCACTTCAAGCTTGTTCCCGTTTACAAACATGTCAGGTAATATGTCATTATTTCCTTTTTTTGAATAAAACAACAACATGTAGACGGTTTTTGATACATTAAGATGTAACCATGAACATTGTAGCCAGTTTGAAACATGAACCATAGCAGCAGATAGATCTGATGTAGGGCTGGTCCTTGTGGTGCGTGAGCGTTTTGAGGAATAGTGTAAGTAACAGTTTAAGTGCTTTCCCTTTGTACAGAGTGCCTGTGGTGGACAATAATCAACAATGAATAATCGTCCGATTAAAAATTAACCCGCCTCCTATGTGAAGTCGTCGTAGCTGAACAGGGCTGACACTACTGTATCTTAACTCCAGATATTATCTTGGCTCTTGAAGAGTGGAATATTATTTGAGGTCGTACATGGTGTAAAAAAAATTGAGAACCACTGTTGCAGGGGACAAATGTGTAAATATGATGAGGCTTCTCACCATCACAGATCTAAAAAGTACTGGATGCAAAACACACCCCACCTTTTACTATGCATCCACAGACAGCTGTGTGCCTGTACTTAGCTCTTAACAGCAAAATATATCATTTAAAAAGTATTTGCAGATCTGAAATTTGGTTTGGTTTGACGTTTGGTCATGGACTTTCCACGTCCACATATGACGTCCAAGGTACCCTGGGTGTGTTGGTTGTTGACGTTCTGGGACACCGTGTCAACTTCAGCCTGTTACATGCATTGTCTGTTTTCAAAATACACTTCTGTTTTCACAGGAAATGTACAGTTTGCATACAGTCTCTTTCAAAATAAAAGCACTTTGTTTTTAACAATATACACACAGGATTGGGTTTAGGAAAACAAAAAGGGGTTTGGGTTTACATTCATACGGGAAGCGAACACCAACCTCCCAGGTGAAAGACGGTGGTTGTTGAACCCGCCAGCCCGACCCTGACCTCTGCCCCCTTAACTTATGTTGTTGTCCAGACGCTTTTCCCCCTGATGCCACTGGGTGCTGTTACAGAATAAAGGCAACCGGCCGTGTATCATAACAACATGAATGGACGGCTTTTTTCGTAGGTGTCTGACGTTGGATGTCACTGACCAAGTGCCAGTATTTGACGACTTCTGAGTGAGACTGGGTTGAAAATAAATGTTACAACTTTATGTTGTGTGCACTCAAAGACAGAAAATGCAGTCTGTTGTAGCTATTAGTGAAATATATACCTTATGAAAATAAAAGGGTAAGACCGGCCAAATTGCTTGATGGATACAGTCTTTGTTTCCTCCTAGAACAATGAAAATTTAAACTCTGAAGACTAAATATTGTTTTATTTTGTAAACAAACATGTACACGATCACCACTGAGAATTTAATACATAGCATTAATTGTATACATCACAGCTATAGTCCTATAGATGCCCACATATCGTCGCTGTCCGATGAAAAACACGTATCTCCACTTTTGACGATTTTGAATTTCTACAGTGTGTGGAGTGTCCATAATATTCCTTAGCAACCGTTAGCATTGGATATCCAAATGACCAATGGAAAGACGTCTATTACATCATCTATTCAACACGTATCTCCATTGGCTGTCAGAAGTGTCCATCAAAGCACGTAGAAAGTCAGAATCGTCAAAAGTGGAGGTACGTGTTTTTCGACGATATAGAAAATAAAAACATCACATAACTGTATTTACAATATAAAAATGTTTCCAGACGATCTAAACATTCTTTTCACAGATCCATCTGTAAGGTTTATTACAGGAACCATCCATCCAGGACTCGAGTGTGTTTTCGTTGGTGTCTATGTGTCCACAGTCTTCACCCAGAGGGTCGTCCCGCTTCCAGTCATCAGGCTCAGTCCCCAGTCCAGGTCTGTTCAGCCAGAACCTGCAGGAAGAGCAGCGTAAGATAATCTTATTTCACAGTGTCGCTGAAACAAAACATCCTCGTTCAGTGACAGAGCATCTTATTGTGTGACTTCTGGTGTTTTAAAAGATTATTTAGGATTCACCAAAGTCACAGTAACACAACCTAACTGATCGAGGCAGCGGTAGACCAACAGCTCCAGTGTTCAGCGAGGTAAAATCACTGCTTTTGTCAATGCAGTCTGGCTTTGAAGAAGGCAGAGAAGGATCCACTTTCCCTTCAGTTCACCGTCCTAAAGGTCTGTCTGTCTGGGAAGTACTGAGCATACGACTGCATAAATGAGACTTCTATTATCCTGACGAGTTGTGTGAGAGTTTAGCTCCTTGCAGCGTTTGACACAGTTGACCATCAAATTCTGCTACAGAGACTGGATCACTTAATTGGCCTAAAAGGTTCTGCACTAAGCTGGTTTAAATCTTATTTATCTGATCGTTTTCAGTTTGTTCACATTCATAATGAATCATCCTTATGTACTAAAGTTTGTTTTGGAGTTCCGCAAGGTTCTGTGCTCAGACCAATCCTATTTACTCTATATATGCTTCCTTTAGGTAACATCATTAGAAATCACTGTAAATTTCCATTGTTATGCGGATGATACACAGTTGTATTTATCGATGTAGCCAGAAGAAACTAATCAATTAACAAATTGTGATTTGTGATATTGGGCTTTGTGCTGCTTCCGAAAGTATTTAAAGCTCTGAACCCTGAGCAAACTGCTGCAACTTCTTTCAACAACACAGGGGAAAAAAGGCAATGAGCAACTTTGTAAGAAATGTCCCACAAATTGCAAAAAAATAATAGATTCAAAAATGTATTTAAAAAGTTATTATTATTATTAATAATAATTATTACAGTTTAAAACTATGTTATGGATTTTTAAAAAATAATTTGTAAACAAATGTTTTGATATAGTTTTGCTCTTGTTCAACGTGGTCGCTCTTGACTTTAATTCATCAAGAATATTCTCAGCTTTCGGATTTTCCGTTCACCGTGGAGGCATCTGAGAAAAGTTTTCGTCATGAATTCAACGTAACACGGAGTGGGTAACTGATATACAGACTATCACTGGGGCGTGAAGCATTCCTTTAATGCAACACGAATAATGACAAAATATTTAATCTTATAGTGGAAAATTATGTTTTTACGACATATTGGTTCGACAGGGAATTTGTAGAATTGCTATTTTCCAAAGATAAAGATAATCTGTTGGTAGGTTGTATGGACATGTCCAGTCATTTCAGCGGCACGGTTAATCTCTGTAGTTACCATTAAATACTGCAGAGAAATGTTTTCTTGAGCCTTGTGGTGATTAAAAGTGTCACTTTCTATTTCAAAGCCCAAAGCCCTGTCGTGTCAGAGTGAGTTGTTGTTGAAACAGTGGGTGAACCAGTAGTGTTGTCACAGTGTCCCTGCATGTGTCTTACTGTAAATCTGAAGAGACTGGGCTGCCGTCCACCCAGCTCCATTCACCCTCCTCCTGTGCGTCTGTCAGACCAATCCACAGCCGGCTGCTGCTGCTGCTCGACTCCAGAGTCCGGCTGCTCTCCAAAACAAAACTCTGAAACAGAGCAAACATGATTTACATTACATCACTCCTGGAATCTCTGTCTCTCTGTCTGCAGCTGCCTCACAGTCTCTTCTTTGTGTCCTCTACCTGTTCAGGTTCACTGTTAATGACGAGCAGGTCGCCCCCCTGTGTCTGACACCAGGCTCTGCTGGAGCTCCAGGTGAGCATACGAGAGGAGAAGTAGTAGCACTTCCTCTCAAACAGTGTCCAGCCGTCGTGACACGATCTGCACATCCTCTCTGTGGAAAAAAGAAAGGGACAGTTTCTCTACAGTTACCAGTCTTTGCTGTATCAGAACCCAGTAACATTAATGGTGGGAATCACCAGAGGCCCCACGATACGCAAGTCATGACACAATATTATTGTGATTTTAAACATGTCGCCATATTCGGAGTATTGCGATAAAATATATATCAATGCTGCAATAAACACATCTTCAATACTAATCTGAACTTACTATAGTTAGGATTCTTTTCAGCACCAGGGATCCCTGAAAATATAATATGGGCCACTGAATTTGGTGGATTTACCATTTATGAGACCACAAAGGAGACACAGTTTAAGGACTGGTCAAGGTCCCTGCTTGGCCAGCCTTCACAGATGGGGGAGCAGCCTGAGCCCACTGTGAGGTTGTGAAGAGGAGCAAACCCTGGAGCATATTATTGAAGCCTACCCTCTCCAAGGACTAAAAGGTGACCCCTAGTGGAGGCATGACCCCAGGTTACATATCTTTGATTTGTTGACAGTGACCAGCCTTATAAAGTTGAACTTGAAGTAACCAGTGTGTCTTCACACTGTGGGTTAATCTAATCAAAGCCACCATTAACATCAGACATAACCGAATATGTACCTTTGGTCTTGTGGTTAACCACGGGGCAGTAGAGGTCCAGGGAGCTGTAGGCCTCCTTTATCGACTGCATGTCTGCCACCATTCGCTCCGTCTTGTCCTCTCGCTCTGCTGCTTCCTGCCTCTCTTTCATCAACATCCTGCTCAGGTTCATGTTTTGCTCCTGAAGCTCTGTTAATCTCTGCTGCAGCTGCGTGTTTTGTTCTGACGCCCTCTCGCGGTCCTCGTCCAACAAAGCTCCGATCCTCTCGCTCAGATTTTTAACTTCTGCTTGATACTCGTCATTGATTTCCAGAAGTTGTTGATTCCTTTCCTTCAGTTGACCCAGCTCATCCCTCAGGAGGCTGTTGATCTCTCGTCTCTCCTCCTCTCGCTGAGCGTTGGAGTCGACCAGATGTTTGATAGTCTGAGACATGTTCAGCTTCTCTTCCTCCTGCTCAGATGTGTACCGGACCAGACGCTCGTGTTCGTGTGTGAGTTGTTGGTTTGCTGAAGTTAGATTGACGATTTGCTCTGTCAACTCGGTGCTTTCTAAACTCAGAGCAAGGTTAACAGACATCAGACCGGCTGAAGTCCTGTTGAGGAGTGCGGTCTGTTGGTGCAGCCAGGCGCTGTGCTCCTTCAGGAGTTCATTGTCTCTCCTCAGGTCGTTGTTTTCTGTAGTGAGGGCTGAGTAGCTGTCGCTGACGTTCTGGTAGTCAAACAGGAGGCTCTTCCATCCTGGTTTATTCTCTGACTCGTTATCTGAAATCAAAGGCAAAGAATCATCACAACACAGCGTGCTTCAAAATGTGACTCAAACACAGATAACTGTTGTTATGCTACGAGTTTTAAAGGTTAATCAAAACACATGATTTAATTTCCATTTCAAAAAAGACACATTACACTTAACCTAGAAGTATAGTTTAAGATTTGGGAACATATACGTGTAGGGTTTCTTTCTGATAGTGAGATGAGCACATCAACATTAATCTCAGGACAGGGTTAGCCTAGCTTAGCATAAGAATCAACAGCCTCTTTTACACTTCCTGTTCAAGGCAGTAATAACGTGCTGTTACTCTGCCTCACCGTTCTGTAGATATGGTACAATTTCAGAATGGGGGGGCAGAGTCTCAGCTCAGAGCCAGGAACAGAGGGAGGAACAGCACTGACACGATGTCTGTATAAACGGGACAGCCAGCAGGCCGGGATAAATGGCAGCACAGGTGTGACATTTTAGCAATGTGTTATGTGTCGGGAGATTTAAAAAGTAGCTGATAGCAGTTAGCAGCTAACTCAAAGAATGCGAACAGCGGCTGAAATGTCTGCAAATTTGGGAAAACAGTGAGGTCTAGGAGAAAATTTTTGAGAATTTTTTGAAAAACACTTCAAATGGATCTCTTCCTAGGAAGTTTGAGCGATCTGCATGAAACTGGGTGAACATAATCTAGGGACCAATATCTAAAGTTCCCTCTTGGCAAAAGTTGGAAAACTTACTAAAACTGAGCTTCTATAAGGCAATGAATATTGCGGAGGGCGTGGCTCATCACATAAAGGTGTATAACATCTCAAGGGTTTCACCCATCACCACGCAACTTTGTAGGCATATGACCACACATAATCT